AGAGGCATGTCCCCCCCCCCCCCCCCCCNCCCCCCCCCCCCCCCCCCTTGAGGTGCTTGCGTTCGACGTTTAGCGCGAGGATGGGTTCAGCAGTCTCTTCCCTCTGGTATGTACCGCAAGAGGCGGGGGTATGCCACCCGTCGGGGAGATGGGACCGGGGTGCGCAACAAAATAGGAAGGACGGCACGATTTTAACTCGATTTCCGCACAGCACCTTTTTGTAGATACAATGGTACCAACAGAGAGGCGGAGAGATGGTACCCGTCGGGGAGATGGCATCGGGGTGCCTGCATTTAAGTATGTGGGCATGGCGCCGGTCGGAGAGAGATGGCACCGGGGTGACTTGAAACAGCTAAACGAAACTACATACTTGTAATTTTTTAATTCATTCAGTAGTCTACGCATATGAACCAACGAATCAATCTCTATCGAAGAAAAGAGACTATGATAGACTAGCAGTGAATCTATAGCATCAGCGAAAGATCTGCTTTTCCACGATTTCCCGAGCAGCACACATTGATATCTCCCCCGCGGGTAACAGGGTCAACAAGATAGCATTTCCCCACCGGGGTCTGAGAGATGGCACCAGTACCTGTCGGAGAGATTGCGCACCGGGTTGCGAAAAAAAGAAAGAACAAAGCATTCAACAAAACGACTGCACCCGGTGCCATCTCTCCCCCTTGTACGGTACACACTCCCGAACAACAAATCGCTTTCCGCTACAGAATTGCAAACCGTTCACTCACGAGCGAGATTTGAACCCACAACCGGTTGATAGGGTCACAAGGCTACCCAATAGATTACCGGGGCAACAACCGGTGGAAATCGACAGCGCACTCTTGGGGAAACAATCGCACTTGCCCCCGCACACCCCCTTCACGACATCCCAGTGATGAAAGAGGATGGTGTAACTGCTGGGCAACCGACGTGGAGAAGACGAAGCTTCGTTACTCTCGGCCAAAGACTCCGCGGTGAAAAGGCGGTATTTACATAAAATTCTAAAGAGAAACATCGAAGACGGTCTTCTGGCCCAGAGAAGTCTCGATCTTTCGAACTAAACTCAGTGAAGAGCATCATGGAGGAGCAACTTGCGCCTTGGGCACGCACCCTCGGATCTCCTCCTCGGGCTGTGATACAGTACCGAGGCTATCTGTCCTCCGCACTTCTGGATCCAAGTCAAACTTTATAGACCATGCACCAACGTCTACTCTTGCCAGATTTCAGAAGTTCACGCTGACTCCATGCTGCTGCTCTCTGATTGGCCAACTAATCTTTCTTCTTCCGCTCCTCACAAAACTCAGATTTCAACGCCTCTGTCTCTGCAATATTCTGCTCGGTATATACTCGCCGGCACGGAGCTCCCGCCCCCCCAATCACGGGTCGTCTAAGGCAGCTGCAATAGAGTGGTGTAGTTTTGTAGATATGCTGCACACCCGCCGGATATTGGGTCTTCGATGGCGAGCGCGGGATTGGAAGATGGGTGATTTTGGATTCGGGTTTGCGGCCGTTCTGGCCCGCGGCTGCAGCTAACGAAAGCACGGCCGAAGGGATAGATTTCATCCGTGCAATGGCGCCCGTCACAGTCGGTATTTTTTTTTTTTACTGCTCGGTAATATTACCTACTGGAAAAAAACACTTCCACTTCAGATAGGGGCTCTTGTGCAACGCGAAGAATGTTGACAAGCACCCGCCAAAAGGAACGTCCGATGAAAGTATTGCCTTGGTGTTGTGAGACAAGGTGTGTGGAGGTACATACGGTGGCTACATGATGTGCTAGTGAGACAGTGCCCACAGCTGCTCTGTGCGACAGCCCACAGATTCTTGATCGAGTGCAACACTTCCATCCCACTGGCACTGAAAGAATATTTTTGTGTGAAAGTGCTGGGCGCTCGATGGCCCGAACGAAGTCAAATCAAGATATCGAACCTCACAGAACTCACTGCTGGAAAATGTTGTCTCTTTCGAACCTGTTGGATGTTGAAGCAGTGCAAAGTGCAAACCAATTCACCGACTGCAGCTGTCGGCCCTCCTACGCAACACTTCAAATATCGCGTGAGACAGGTTGTCTGCTCAAACTCCCTTTTTGCATGAGATCCGCTCCGAAGACTTGAGGCTCATCTCTCGGAAATCGCGGCCATTTCTAGTCTAAACCCCGTAACAAATGGAACATTCCTTTTGGGCTGTCCGACTCTGTTTAAGACCAAAACAATGCTTTGAAAATGTAGTGCCCCAGGGCAACAGGTTCGTCCGGACGCAAAAAAGACCACCCTTAAGATGCCACTTCTCCGAACGCGCCGCTCAGTCCGCCGCGATGCCGCTGCCTACTGAAGTTTGCCGTAGCGCCTCGTAGGCAGCAGCCAAGAAGCCAACAAGTAGGTCGTATGATAGGTATCGTGTGGGGGGGGTACGTACCTCACGGCACCAGGGCGGCGGAGAGGCCCGGCGCGCTCACTCGTTCATAAACAGCCCGAAAAATGCGCCATTTTTTCGACCAGCTCGACACTAAACCACCATAACCATAACACACATGGACGACGGCAATCACCCGTACTACTATTAATAGCAGATCAGCATGCAGGGAGTCGAAGGTGGAGTCGGCGAAAAACGGCGTCCTCCCAACACCGGAAGATGGCAGACAAGTGGGTGGGAGTGAATGGAAAGGGTCCCAAAACGGCAACCATGGTTACGCTCGTAGTCCTTGTAACCGCTATTATTGCTGGGCATCGTCGGGGATGCACATCACGCAACCTAGTGCTAGCGCAACGGCCTTGCTGGAACCAACGCAGCAGCAGAGGTAGGTAGGTGTCCATCCTACTCATGATGGCGCATAGACGAGCTGGTGCAGCCGGAGAACCAGCACAGAGAGGAAACACTCGATCTTCGTAAATATGTGGTCAATGACATACAAACACTTACTTCGCGAAGTAACGTACTATCCGCGGTGTTACTGCCTCGGAAGCGTTACCGCAGTCCTCCATGGCAACAGCTCCCGAGGGCGAAGCGAGGCCTTCGGGGTGAGCAGGTGCAGTGCGCGTGCCTCCTCTGTGGGCGGGGCAGCCCCCGCCCCTATGCCCGGACCGGTGAACACGCAGCGATGGTTGCGCGCGCCAATGCGCTGCGGGAGGGCTCAACAAACAACGACGTCATCTCGTGAAAAAAACAAATTCTCTTTCTTTGCACCTTCGATTCCTGCTGGCTTTCGCGATGAGCTTGCTGGCTGCGAACATTAGGCCCAGAGATGCCCCTGCAGCTTCGTCCTCTGCGGTGGTCGCCGGCTGTCCGTTGCTTACCTCCTCCATATTGCGTCGCTAGTCAACGGATGCAGGCCGCCGTTCTAAATTCTAAGCGCGCACTGCTGCCTGCCTGCCACCTCTGTGCCTTCGCCTTCCTGATGTCGTTTCGCGCAGCGCGGAGAGCGGAGCGCAGCGGAGGAAATGTTGCCCGCGCGAAGCGGCTCCGCAGATGCGAAACAAACAGAACCCTACGGGGAGGGAAAAAGTAAACGGTCGAAGAATCCGAACACACACCGCGGTTGGCGACACAGCAGACACAGACGAGGCAACAAGAAATACCACCTACCTTGGAGAGAGAGAAACATAGAGAGAGAGGAGAGAACCTGGATACGGAAAGAGGAAAGCAGAGAAGACGCTTGTGTAGAGGGCGACCAAGAAGGAGGCGAGAGGGTTGTCGCGTGTGCTGGGAGGACCCCCAAGAATCATGCCGGGGAGGGCGAAGAAGGTTACCCTGAACAAGGCAACCTTCGTTGAGATCAGGCGCAAGGGATGCAAAGTGAGAGTGAGTGAGGGTGCACCTCGTTGATGCATTGAGTTGTCGTCCATCTTGTGCTGTCTTCACTTGTTGGTCCTGGTTGATTCCAGCAGACATTAACACAAACGCTGCATGGATATTATTTGTCGTACTTGCGAACGAAACGATAGCAGCAGCTACGGTTGCAACGTTTAAAATCGCGCAGTCACCATACGCGGGCGGTAGGCGGCATGAGATAGGCAGGTGTCTGCGAGCCGATTATCTCTTGGCTTCTTTTATCCTCCGTGTTGCTGACCTGTCAGTTCTGTTGTTGGTTGTGACTTGATGACGCATAGTGAGAGCGTGTTTCATTTGTCGCGCGTACCATGATGTGCCGTAGGCCGTAAGCCATGAGATTCCCCCCCTGCGGAGCTACGTCGATACCCCAAGATGTGGACGTTGCCGTACTATCATGCATGATGTACCATAAGCCCCTACAGCTAAAGCAGACGTCGCCGCAGCGCCATTTAGTCGAGCAGTGCAAGGTAGGGGTAGGCCTGCAGTTCGTGTTTTTTACCCCAGAAACAACCGCGCTCGTAAACATGTGTTGCCCATACATACGTCGGGGTTTGTCGCGTAGGGAACTCGCTTGAGTCTGTCTGGCAGCGCGTTGACGGCAGTGCCTCCCACACCACCGTGTGCCATCATTTCGTTGCGCCACGGCTTGGACAACCAGCGCCTACGATAGCGAAGAGGAGATGCCACAGCGTCAAGGCATGATATATTGGACGCGTGTCGTTTCCAACCGAAGGATGTTCGCGCAACGGGAGTAGATACTCGAGTGCGCCTCGTCGCGGGCTACCATAGCATAGGCCGCAGCGTTTCGTCCGCTTTACTGACGCCCCTTTGAATACAACAACACAAGGAGCTGCTGCTCTCAAAAAGTGTGGGCTCGTAAACGCCCACTTTCTCCAACCCTCTCCTCCACTTGAAGCCAAGGTTATTGCTTGCGGAGCACAAAATAGACCGGTTCTGCTCGTGTACAAAGTACTCCGGATCTGTTTGCCTGTGGCCCCGCCAAAGAAAATGAAAGGTAAACTTTGCGGGGTGCAGCAAGCACGTTCTGGACGTTGCTTTGGGGCACTGGGTAGTCGGCCGTGTTAGGCCGAGAGAGAGCGGTTGAGAGAGAGTTGGAGAGAGAGTAGGAGAAGGAAACTTGATTGGAGAGAGACGGTGGTGGTGGTGGAGAGAGACGGTGGTGGTGGTGGAGAGAGGCGGTGGTGGTGGTGGAGAGAGACGGTGGTGGTGGTGGAGAGAGACGGTGGTGGTGGTGGAGAGAGACGGTGGTGGTGGTGGAGAGAGACGGTGGTGGTGGTGGAGAGAGACGGTGGTGGTGGTGGAGAGAGACGGTGGTGGTGGTGGAGAGAGACGGTGGTGGTGGTGGAGAGAGACGGTGGTGGTGGTGGAGAGAGACGGTGGTGGTGGTGGAGAGAGACGGTGGTGGTGGTGGAGAGAGACGGTGGTGGTGGTGGAGAGAGACGGTGGTGGTGGTGGAGAGAGACGGTGGTGGTGGTGGAGAGAGACGGTGGTGGTGGTGGAGAGAGACGGTGGTGGTGGTGGAGAGAGACGGTGGTGGTGGTGGAGAGAGACGGTGGTGGTGGTGGAGAGAGACGGTGGTGGTGGTGGAGAGAGACGGTGGTGGTGGTGGAGAGAGACGGTGGTGGTGGTGGAGAGAGACGGTGGTGGTGGTGGAGAGAGACGGTGGTGGTGGTGGAGAGAGACGGTGGTGGTGGTGGAGAGAGACGGTGGTGGTGGTGGAGAGAGACGGTGGTGGTGGTGGAGAGAGACGGTGGTGGTGGTGGAGAGAGACGGTGGTGGTGGTGGAGAGAGACGGTGGTGGTGGTGGAGAGAGACGGTGGTGGTGGTGGAGAGAGACGGTGGTGGTGGTGGAGAGAGACGGTGGTGGTGGTGGAGAGAGACGGTGGTGGTGGTGGAGAGAGACGGTGGTGGTGGTGGAGAGAGACGGTGGTGGTGGTGGAGAGAGACGGTGGTGGTGGTGGAGAGAGACGGTGGTGGTGGTGGAGAGAGACGGTGGTGGTGGTGGAGAGAGACGGTGGTGGTGGTGGAGAGAGACGGTGGTGGTGGTGGAGAGAGACGGTGGTGGTGGTGGAGAGAGACGGTGGTGGTGGTGGAGAGAGACGGTGGTGGTGGTGGAGAGAGACGGTGGTGGTGGTGGAGAGAGACGGTGGTGGTGGTGGAGAGAGACGGTGGTGGTGGTGGAGAGAGACGGTGGTGGTGGTGGAGAGAGACGGTGGTGGTGGTGGAGAGAGACGGTGGTGGTGGTGGAGAGAGACGGTGGTGGTGGTGGAGAGAGACGGTGGTGGTGGTGGAGAGAGACGGTGGTGGTGGTGGAGAGAGACGGTGGTGGTGGTGGAGAGAGACGGTGGTGGTGGTGGAGAGAGACGGTGGTGGTGGTGGAGAGAGACGGTGGTGGTGGTGGAGAGAGACGGTGGTGGTGGTGGAGAGAGACGGTGGTGGTGGTGGAGAGAGACGGTGGTGGTGGTGGAGAGAGACGGTGGTGGTGGTGGAGAGAGACGGTGGTGGTGGTGGAGAGAGACGGTGGTGGTGGTGGAGAGAGACGGTGGTGGTGGTGGAGAGAGACGGTGGTGGTGGTGGAGAGAGACGGTGGTGGTGGTGGAGAGAGACGGTGGTGGTGGTGGAGAGAGACGGTGGTGGTGGTGGAGAGAGACGGTGGTGGTGGTGGAGAGAGACGGTGGTGGTGGTGGAGAGAGACGGTGGTGGTGGTGGAGAGAGACGGTGGTGGTGGTGGAGAGAGACGGTGGTGGTGGTGGAGAGAGACGGTGGTGGTGGTGGAGAGAGACGGTGGTGGTGGTGGAGAGAGACGGTGGTGGTGGTGGAGAGAGACGGTGGTGGTGGTGGAGAGAGACGGTGGTGGTGGTGGAGAGAGACGGTGGTGGTGGTGGAGAGAGACGGTGGTGGTGGTGGAGAGAGACGGTGGTGGTGGTGGAGAGAGACGGTGGTGGTGGTGGAGAGAGACGGTGGTGGTGGTGGAGAGAGACGGTGGTGGTGGTGGAGAGAGACGGTGGTGGTGGTGGAGAGAGACGGTGGTGGTGGTGGAGAGAGACGGTGGTGGTGGTGGAGAGAGACGGTGGTGGTGGTGGAGAGAGACGGTGGTGGTGGTGGAGAGAGACGGTGGTGGTGGTGGAGAGAGACGGTGGTGGTGGTGGAGAGAGACGGTGGTGGTGGTGGAGAGAGACGGTGGTGGTGGTGGAGAGAGACGGTGGTGGTGGTGGAGAGAGACGGTGGTGGTGGTGGAGAGAGACGGTGGTGGTGGTGGAGAGAGACGGTGGTGGTGGTGGAGAGAGACGGTGGTGGTGGTGGAGAGAGACGGTGGTGGTGGTGGAGAGAGACGGTGGTGGTGGTGGAGAGAGACGGTGGTGGTGGTGGAGAGAGACGGTGGTGGTGGTGGAGAGAGACGGTGGTGGTGGTGGAGAGAGACGGTGGTGGTGGTGGAGAGAGACGGTGGTGGTGGTGGAGAGAGACGGTGGTGGTGGTGGAGAGAGACGGTGGTGGTGGTGGAGAGAGACGGTGGTGGTGGTGGAGAGAGAGAGGGAACAAGAAGTAGAAGAAGTGCGCAGCACGCACGCAAGCCTTCCTCATCATCGCACCGACCACGCCCAAAGGGTCCCCGTGACTGCGCCGGTGGTACCCTTCAACACACGAAATTACCAACACGTGTCCCCCTGGGATCCTCACGACCAGATACTGCTGCGAGTATATCTAACAGAAAAACAAGGATCGCAGTTTTGTTTTCGTTGCGGGTTTCCAGTTTCCAGCGTGGGTGTTTGTCATCCCGTTTGTTCTGGCCATCGTGACGTCGTTCTTCCAGCATGTTTTTGGACGGACACACCAGCCGGGTCACACAGGAGGAAAGCCACCATACATAAGAGTTTTTTGTATTTTTGTTCCGCCCTTCCCCTTCTTAGGTGCTTTAGCTTCTCTATGCATACAACGATCGCAAGCGAGATTTAGCCGTCCTATGAGATTCCTCGTCGACCGCCTAAGTCGACGTTGTTGCGCACACGAGCGTGTTGCTATCCACATCCAATTGTCTCTGCATAATGTGAGGAAATGTCCCGGTTCGTGTGGCTGCGCCCGAGATTCAAACTCACGCCCAAAACGTCAAACGGTGGCAAGGTTCTCACCTGTACCACTGGGCATGTGTATGTCTAGTGTGTCATGTTCGACCCACAATCACTATGTATGCGGCCGTATGTAGATAGATGTATTCGCGAAGAAACAGAAGATATCGATGAGCTCTTCGCAGTATGGGGCGCTCCCTCTGTCTGCGTGTCCCCGTCGTGTCTGTAGGCTGGCTTGTTCGCCCGTGCCAAGTAGTTGGCTCGAAAAACAGGTGTGGGTGCTGACAGGATCCGTCCTTGGTTGAGCCTTTTCCCCTCCAAGAACAGTTTTCCATGAACACGTTTACGTGTTGATCGACCGAGTCTTCTCGTTTCTCACCTGTGGTGTCAGCAGGAAAAGAAGAAAGAAACATGTTGCAGTTCATGCAGCAAAGAACTATTATAATACAGCTGACAGAATGTAGAGCCGGCGTCCCCATCTTTTTTTCAACTTTGCTGTCCCATCTTTTCTCCGCGAACACATGTGTCTATTCTTCAAAAGCGATTTCCTCCCATAATCCGATTTCGCACGTTCCGCAAATTTGCATGGCGGTTCCTTAGAAATAGCGGTTGTTGGAATATGAATTATCTTCGTTGCCCGTGGAAAGATGCCTCACATTATCTCACCGAACAGAACGACAAGTATGTATTTTTTCGCCGCCGTCGCATATGCACCATGTGTTGAATGTGTTGAACCTGTTCTTGGACCGCCCCCCCCTACCCCTGTCGCTGCTGGTGTGCACGCACGCGAAGTCAAAAAGACAGACCACTAGAGTGCTCATAAACTACGACAAGAAGGACCTGCAGCAGCTCGTGTCGTGCGTGGAGAGGGCGCTGCAAAAATCTCCCTCCGACCCACCGATGCGCGTGACGAGTCTAAGCTATGCCCCCGTCGAGACCACCGGCGGCGAGGGCGGTGGTGTACTAGACGGCACGCCGTTCTGCCCGCAACCCAAGCGGCAGAAGTCGTCGACCGACGCGCGGCACAAGTACGTCTTGCTGACTCAGAAGACGTTCAACCCGGAGGTGTTTTGGGCCATGGAGAAGGTCTTCCTCGCCGCCGTGGTAGTTAGGGAGGTGAGTATTGCGACGGTATGTGCCGTCCGCTGACTGCGCGAAGTGCACTGACTGCTGCGTTGATCGCTACCGCCGTGCCTGCTTGTAGGTATCGACATGGGCCCGACGTGGCAAAGCGCTGCAGAAAGTTTTGCCAGCGATTGCAAGGGTATTGGCATATCATTGTGCAGTGCGTTCGCGGCTTGTGAGTAAAGTGAAATGATGACGGCCTGACCTCCGTTTTGTTTTGAGTCTGATGATCTCTCTTTGCTGTTGAACCTCGCCATTCGTTTACTTCGCGAGGAACATTGTGGCCTTTGCGGGGAGTGTATAGCCTGTATTGTGCGACCAATACAGCAGGGGAAGCAGACTTGATTGTTTTCGTCCCTTGTGTCTCGAAAACCCCAACGGAGGCTGCCAACACACACACTATTTTGCAACCGCTGATCGAAATCGGTACAACGTAGCGCCGGCGTGAACATGAACGTTAAATGTACTTCAGCTGGACCATGATCATGAATGGTATGATGCCGCTCCGCGCCGTATGACGCGCAAAACAACCCCCCCCACCCCACACAGCCTATGTTGGAGGCGCTATTTAGCGTCGGTGAGCCGGCAAAAGAACTAAAAGGAACCACAACCCCCGCCGGACACTCGGATTGGGAAGGCCGAGTATTCCGTATACTTTCCTGAAAAAACACGAAAAACAAGTGGCCACGGTCCAGTTGCCGTAGAGATCATGAGGATGGTGAAGAAGCTTGGAGGATGGAAGCAGAAACTGTGGAAGGGAGACAAGTTGGAGCTGCTGCTGTTTGGGATTCCAAGGGACATGACGAGGATAGAGTTCAAGAACTGTTGTGACAGGGAGGGACTGCACTGCCTAGCA